TCCGTTGCGCTCATCACGTGACACCTCTATCCGCTAAAGGTGGCACTATCTTAACCGACAAGCGGCGGTCGCTCGGTCGGTATAGTTCGCTAGCGGACTCAAGCCACGGAGTTTCTTTTTTTGAATGAGTTGTTTAAGTCATATTAACTACACACCTCCCGAATTCATCATGCCAGAGGAATGAAACAGCAATGCATGCATTCATAAATTCCGTCAGGTTTGAAGAGATTCAGAATTTTCTTCCCTGTTCGGTTAGCATACACGTACAATCACGAGAGAATCAATTAATCAGATCTTTTATTGCTATTCTTGCGTACAAGCGCTTAAAACTGGAGAGACTTTTTGGTCAATAATATAATAATAAATGAGCCATTCACCCTCCTGGTCTACTACTTTGCATGAGCAGTGTTCATGACGTGGCCGGTCACGAACTGCAACTGAATGACAGGTAAAACTAACACTAACCAATCGCTAATAAAACATGCGCTTGCCTCAAAAATAAAAACGGGGGCTACTACATCGCAACACACCCTGCTCAATTTAATATCCCGTTAAGGACCCCTCCAAAAAAAAAAAATTGGTTTCAAACACATGAAATGATGATGATGATGATGATGATGATGATGATGATGATGATATACCTAAAGCCATGTTGAAGCATCCTCCTTCAGAAGCTAATGGTTTGCAAGTTTTTCACGAAATTCATTGACTTTCATGAACTCGGAAGGTTCATTACCTTGTTCACAAGAGCCCATCGATGGCCCCTACCAGAGTCATATAAATCACGTGACAGTAATTGCTGGAGAATATTTCTTTCATGAGAGACTCTGCATGCCAATCTCCTTCACAGTTCATTCCTCCAAATACAAGTATAGTACTACAGTAAGCTTACTGCAGACCGCGCCATAGCTCAAGCGGTTAGTTGCTGGCTTCCCACCGCGACAATCCTGGTTCGATCCCGGGTCTGGTCAAGTGGGATTTGTGGTGGACAAAGTGGCGCTGGGACAGGTTTTCTCCGAATACTTCGGTTTCCCCTGCCAATCTTCATTCCACCAATTGCTCCACAATCACCCTCACCTATCATCTGGAGCTGTTACAACAGGCCAGAAGTGGCCGCAGTACAAGAGACTTAGTCCCACCCCACTAGCAATAAAAAAAAGCTTACTGTAAACAAAATGGGGTACGCGGTAGCGTAGTGGTTAAGGTACACGTACTATGCTACAAGCCGGAAGGTCGCGGGTTCAAGTCATTGGATTTTTTTAACTGACCTAATCCTTCCGGCCGCACTAGGCCCAGGGGTTTTTTTTTCCCTGTGGCGCTACAGCCCCAATTTGGGCCTAGGCCTACCTCTTTCACTTCGGTTTACTAGATCTCACACATACGGTAGGACTCCTTAGGCGAGTGATCAGCTCGTCGCAAGGCCTCTACCTGTAGACAAACACAGAAAAGCGCACACAAACATCCATGCCCTGACTATGGGCCTCCATGGCATGTTACAGGGATAACTTTTACTTATATAAACCGAAATTAAAACAAATTTTGGAAAAATATCTCAGGTTAAAGAGTTCTGTGTTACAGAATGTGATGCTGTGTAGTCTGGTAGTTACACGTATTTACTGACGTTTCAGAGTAACACCCTGACTCCATCTTGCGGTAAACGAGAAAGCCGAGGGTGGAAAAGTCAAAGTCTTAAGTCAAAGTCATGTTGCGACTGACGGTCAGTCAGTCTGTCTGTCTTTGTGTCGAGCCCCGGCTGAGGCTCATGACAAGATATTACTTTTTAAGTGAAAGTTACTGTCCTGTCCATGTGGGGCTTCCTCTCTGACGATAGGTCGGGTCTCTCAATTTGTCAGTCATATGTGGAAGGATATAGGTCGTGACAGAAGCCTTGGGCGAACCAATAGGAGTAAGGGGAACGGGAAAGAGTCTCAGCCCTTGTGACAGCCATTTTGCAACAGATGGAGAAGAGTGACTAAGAAAGTTACCGGGAGATCAGGTCAGGAGCAACGAAACAGAGGCCTGTCTACCTGCCGTGAATGGAAGGAAATGCTAAAAAGAAACTAACAGGCGCCGAGAACAGTGGAGGGGGAAGCGGAAAAAAAAGGTTAGAGTGAAATAATCTGAATCACTATGTTCTTCCGAAACGTCGGTACATATCTCCCAGACTACACTGTGTTATATCCCAGAAGACAGTAATATTCGTGGTCATTGTCGTGAGAATATGAAGTCTCGCATAATCTCAGTCTGTGAACAATACCGTTGTACCCTCCCATGCTGTGAATTCATGAAGAAAAACGTATGCTAAGTGTTTATTTGAATAAACGCATTAAACGCTTGTACTTCGGGGTCTGATTATGTATAAAACTACAACTGGGGCTTCACACAAAACAGCCTGCAGAAGTACTTCATACGCTGACTGATACTGTCGGGTAGAAAAGAAAGAGCCCTTTATAAACGCGAAGAAAAAAAACAAATCTGTAAGTGGCTGCTTGTTATACACACACACACACACACACAACGCAAGGGCCCATTTTTGTAATGGCCTAGGTGTCACGTAACCCCTCCATATTGAAAATATACTGAGAGGAGATATTCAAGCAAATGTTTTTATGATACTAAAGTATGACGTAAGTTATTGCGCAGCTCACTGAGAGGGGTTAGAGGAAATCTGTGCGCTGCTGTCGTTTCATAGTCGCAAATTTGTTATTTCAAGGAAGCGTTTCCCAACATCCTTGATAAGGAAACACTTTCGGGATTACTCGGTTTCTGGACTTTGTCCATCATCCGGTATTCTAAAGAACACAACGTTTCGAAAACTGATTGAAACATTCCTTTCTTTCCGCTTTCTTTTCCTTTTTCCGTAAAGTTGTGTTCCGTAGAATACCGGACAATGGACAAAATTAACAAATCCAGTAATCCCGAATGTTAAACACCATTGTTAGAACCCTTTAGAACCAACGAAACACTATATAGGTGGAGCCACACATGAAATCAGGAACCCACAACACTCCGTGGCTTTAGCCCGCAAGTGAACTATACCGACCGAGCGACCGCCGCTTGTCGGCGAAGTTAGTGCCAACTTTAAGGGACAAAGGGTGTCGCGTGGTCAGCGCAACGGAACCCCACGGCCGTTAACTTCGGTTTTCTAGACCGCAGCCGCTATTTCCTTGAAACAGCTCCACAATTATCCTCACGAGTTTGAGTGGTCCACGTTCCAGACCAACTAGTTCTCAGAAAATCTGGTAGCACCGGGTATCGAACCCGGGACCTCTGGATGTAGCCAGGAACTTTGACCACCAGACCACAGAGGCGGGCACAGGAAACCATACCTATGACAAAGGCACAAAACAAAAAGCATATTTTTACGGGACGTACGGAGGTTATTATGCCGTTGTAGGGTACAAAAATTTACTTCCTGATTAATTTCGGGTGCTCCCACGTAATTTCCTCCTTAAGATAAGAAACGCTTCATTAAAAAAACGGGCACTCAATGCGAGCCAACTTTGCTGGATATGGCCTAAACCAGGGGATCAATTGTACTATAATAAGTTATGCTCAATTATGCAATCTATTTTCATTGGTATGCTAGTGGCGACAGATCGGGAACCTAACTCTACTGTTTCGAGTCTTCAAATAAGTTTCGTAATGAAAATTAAACGAGAAATTCATTCAGGGGATACATATTTTAAATTTAAAAAAGAGTCGTTATTGTTTAAGAAAGTTTTTGTTAATTTAAAATGTCATCGTACACATGTAGGTGACCCCACAGTATTTGCATTTAACCGTAATGATGAATGATCGTTCCATAAAATAATCATTTTATGGTCAGTGTTATTCCAAATCCGCTTTGCCTACGGAGCAACTGTGGCACTAAAACACGAAGAGGACCGGTGATCACGGGCAACAGGGGGTCAGAAGAAGGCAGATCAATCCATGTACACACATATAACATGAAATATAATTTGTGGGTGGTTAAATCTGATGAGAAATTTGGTATTCTTGCCAAAATATCATGAAATAATCTTATTAAATTTCATAGACAAGAAACATTAGACAACATACATGATCAATTTTGATCTGTGTTCTGGCTGTTGGCTGTAACGAACAACTACACGAAACTTTCGCTCTGGGGAGGAACTGGAACGCAGATGATGTTCCGGACCGGCCACAGTCAGAGAAATCTGCAAAATTAACTACGTAACTGAGCTCTAAGTGTAAAACGGACTGCGAATTGCGAAGAAAGTCGGGGGGGTCAATCGGTATACTCGCTCACTGGTTCGAAAGATGTCATAAAACGTGCTATTGGAGGCGCCTTGGTTCCACAAACTAGCAACATAAGGTAATGAATTTTCCCCACGCATACATATATATATAGCTGATTCTTCACGGAACTCCACAGTCTCACTGAACACAGTTCGGAACATCCCAGTCGTTGTCTACAGTCCACGGTCAACAGTTCTTGGCTCAGTTCACCAGTCAAGACAAAAATTCTAGTCAACAGACATTTTTTCCTACGAGAAACCGCGCATATCCACGCCGTTGTAAGAGATCCGGGCCAGCCTGCTTTCCATCACACAACGTACAAGACTGTCCTTTGTATCAGCGTTTCTCAAACTGTGGCACCGGTACCCACAGGGGTACAAAAGTAACTTGCTAGTAGAGGCACAGTAAGTAGTATTCCAATTGAAAACTGATATCTGTTGCTGGTATTTTATTTCGAACGTAGTAAGAATAAACTTGTACTCATGACAGATATAAAGGTAATAAGTTGTGCATTTTCAACTTCTTTCAAAGCCCAAAACGTCTGAGAACCGTTCCATTATTTTGCATAGTACATATACAAGATATATCTTACTTTTGAAAATTTTCTGCCTGACATCTGCGGAGTACTGAACAAACGAATAAACTGAAAGTTGTTTCCGCTCGTCACCGGACGAGCAGGGAAGTGGATGTGCTAAGAACTGCCAATAGACAAGTGAGAAATGAAAACATGCACTTACCAGGAATATTCGTTGTGCTGTCAGTTTGATGGCTGACCTCATTGCTGTCACCGGCTCCAGGTGTAATGCTGAAGTCGTGCTGTGTTGAGGCGTACCATGTGATCCAGGCTGAGACAGAATTGCTCAACACCAACAAGAAGAACAACATTACGCAGGTGACGACCATTCTGATAATTTCAGAGTCAGTTTTTAAAACGGTACTTATTGTTCTTATGAAATGGTTGCTCCTCTTACCAGACACTGCGTCCTTATACACAAATTGATTTCAAATTTAATATCAAAGTGTAGTAACGACACAAGATCAGTACTGCATGAGACTCTGCTCCTCGTGTAATACAGCCGTAAGAAATTATATATGTGAGACGTTACATATGTATGTTGTATATAACAGATAGGCCTGTGCTTGTGAAATGCATTCGATGTAAAATTCAAGTGATATAGACTGTCCACTATTTATGTCTTGCGAGACACATGACTTGTGTGTCAGATACAAATTACGCCCTTGTCTTGAAGCAGGTTTGATATGCCGCTGTTACTATACAACATGCAGCTTGGTCAGTTAAACACGAAACTTCATTTTATCTTCTTAGCAAATGTTTCTTTCCACGACCCCATGAATTAGAAGAGACGTTTTATCACACACACAGTTCAGTTTAGACACGCTCTTACTACGAACACAATCACTCACACACTAAAAACCCATACACATGTTCTGGTAAAAAAAAAAACATGTTCTGGTGCATCGAGTTGCAAGGTTTCTTTTTTTATTCTTATTCCTTCTACACCATCATTTTGGATTCAGACGCACCATATTATTATTCGACTGCCAAGGTCAAATAAAGAACTTCCAAACAGTTTTCCATCACAGACTCAACAGCTAAAGACAAGACTCTGGCTCTGCCATCAGATCTGTTAGCTGTACAGACAAGATCTATTCGTGGTATTTGAAATTACTCACTTTCCTTCCGTCTCTGTCTTGCTTGCTAGGTCAACTTCCTTCGCTTCTGTGATACTGCTAGCGAAAACGGCAGTGCCAAATTTAACCCGATGTAACAACGGACGTTGCCAAGCTCCAATATTGCACAAGGGGCGATAGAAAGCCTCTTTTTGCTATTTTATATGATGAAGATAGTAATAAAATTGGATGTAACGGCTTCTGGAACATCTACGGTGGCACCTGCCACCACAAGTCACCAACCATGTTACAGCTGGATCAGTCTTCGGTCCCTGAAACAGAAAAAAAAAATGTTGCACTTAGAAACGCAGCAGGCCTACGCCGTGAGTTCTACTTGCGATGAACAAATAATCGATCTGCTGGTACATAACACGCCAACACGGTTGATGAGAACTGTACCAAACACACCATAACTCTGTCTTCTTGGGCATAAAGCCGTGTAGTCTGTTGAAAGTCAACCGACGTTGCCAAGGAACACTGTCGACCACGTCGACACCACGTTCCTCAGAAATGCTGATCTTCAATGGACTACACGGCATAATATCCCATAAGATGGAACTCTTCATAACCACCGGTTTGAGTACCTCAAATCCTACATTTCCTCATTTAATTGTCATCCCATTCACACAGGTCAGTGCGTTCTAGTCTTGTTTCCTACAGAGAAATCGAATTAAACTGCATTTAAAAAAAAAAAATTAACAGAATTTGAATATATCACAGCGGTGACTATGAAAGTACGGCCTTCTGGATTGTAACACGGTGTAGCTAGGGGAAAGCTCGGCGTTTCTGAGGAACATAATTCCTCCATCTTCAGGGTCGAAGAGTAGGCCAGGTAAGAAACTTGCAGAAGCAGGCGGTAAGCTAAACTAAATCTCTTTTAGGCTGGTTATTTCACGACGCTGTCAGTCGAGACTATATGGTGTTAGACGAAAGGATGAGTAATGAAGTTCAGCAGTCAGTGAAATGAGAACTGGAAGGGAAAACTGAAGTACTCAGAGAAAACCTGCCCCCAGTCACACTTTATCCGTCACAAACTCCATAGTACATTAGCTGGGTTCTAAACCGGACCGCCACGTTCGGAAGCCCGTGACTAACTGCATGACCTATGGTGCAGCCCAAACTAAGCTTATCTAAGTATACCGAGTGCTTCTGCTAGATTGATTGACTAGCTCTTTAGCCCTGAAAACGGAGGCGATGTGGTCCTCCGAAACCTCGAGCTATATTCAAACTATGCGGCGTTAGAGTTCAAATAACGAACTGATTAAGCTTGGAGAATTCAGATCACATTCCTCCCTCGTCGTTTTTTCAATCGAAAAATATCAAGAACAGAACATATGAAATGATACTATTAAAAATTGTTTTGTGTGCGTGTGGAACTCCGTCTCTAACAATTAGAGAAAGTCCGTGAAGAGGGATGAGGTGATAGGAGACTGGTCAAAATTACACAGCGATAAACTGCACGAGCAGGGCATGCAACAAGCATGGTAGATATGAGATTTTTTTTTTTTTGCTAGTGGGGTGGGACTACCTCCCTTGTACTGCGGCCACTTCTGGCCTCTTGTACCCGCCCCAGATGATAGATGAGGGTGACTGTGGGGCAATTGGTGGAATGAAGATTGGCAGGAGAAACCGAAGTACTCGGAGAAAACCGGCCTCAGCGCCACTTTGTCCACCACAAATCCCACTTGACCAGACCCGGGATCGAACCCGGGCCGCCGCGGTGGGAAGCCAGCGACTAACCGTTTGAGCTATGGCGCGGCCTCGAGAGATGAGATAGTCTTACAAAATTTCAGTTGGAAATTTGAAGGGAAAAGACCACTTGGAAGACCTAAGCACCGATGGAAGTTTCGTATCAAAATGGGTCTTAAATACATTGGATGGAAAGAAGTGGACTGGATTCATCTGGCAGGAAATAGAGACGAGGGACAGTCTCTTGTGAACACAGTAATGAACCTTCGGGTCTCATAAAAGGCGGGGTATTCCATGAGTAACCGGGCGATTGTTAGCAACTCAAGAATGAGTCATCTCCATCGACTTAATTAATTACTTAGTTCCGACAAGACGGAAAGAAAAATGATCCTGGTTAAGCAATTCCTATAGAGGACATTTTTAGAATTCTGCGCTTGCAGTTCTGGGAAGTCGTTATCACGCCTGCTTCGTTTTCCTTGGGGTTATGGATTCGAAACCGATCAATCTTGCTGAATATTTTATGGTCTTCTTCAGTCCCTCTGGGCAACTTGCGAGAAGGAATCCAAAGCCTCTGGATTCCAAACAAATCAACGCCGCACTATCATCCTAAGGTTGAGAACTCTGTTGCAATGATTAGAATAATTGTTTAGTGTTATTAGATCACTTGATTCTTCGGCAACTGTTGATAGTCAAGTGTGAAAATACGTACTACAGAAATGATCATGTGAAGCTCTCGGGTCTAGTGGTCGACTTCCTGGCTACAGACCCAGAGGTATCGGGTTCGATTCCCGGCGCTACCAGATTTTCTGAGAAGTAGTGGGTCTGGAATGGGGTCCACTCAGCCTCGTGAGGATAATTGAGGAGCTATTTCAAGAAAATAGCGGCTCCGGTCTAGAAAACTGAAATTAACGGCCGTGGGGATTCGTTGCGCTGACCACATGACACCATCTAACCGCTAAAGTTGACACTATTATTATTATTATTATTATTATTATTATTATTATTATTGGAGGGGGTGGCTTTCCCCATGCATCGCGACCAGTTTGATCTATTGTATGTTCCCCTTGATATTCTACCAGTCTCTATACCCTACTGGTACTGGTGCGTGCTATCAGCCCCGACTCAGCCAGCGAGTTCGGCCTCTACTGGCTCAGCGGTACCTATGATGCTTCCCCCATCTACCAGAGGCGTTACAAACTACTGTTGGGCGAGAAATGTCCTACAATTTGGCTCAGAGGTCTCTTTGAGACTTGAGGTTCTTTTACGTGCCGTAAAGCTACGACACGGGACCCACGGCTTAAAGTCCCTCCCGGAGGACTTGTTCCCTGAATTTTTCCGCCCTTAAAAATTCCACGACCTCCGCCGGGTTTGAACCCGTGTACCTTGAGTCATGAGGTGGGAACGTTACCCCTAGACTACGAAGGCCGCTTTAAAGTTGACACTAACTTCGCTGACAAGCGGCGGTCGCTCGATCGGTATAGTTCGCTTACGGACTAAAACCAGGGAGTTTGTTTCTGTTTATTTACGAGTAACTATTTAATTTGCACAGCGTAGTGCTGAAAGATATCAATAATAGTTGGTTCACAAGGGTTTAGAATGAACCAGCCGCGGCTTCCATGAAAGACTGTCTTACCATTCGCCTCAAATGACCGAGAAAAATCACAAATAGCTTTTCCAGGTAACCTGTAACCCAGTGATACTCCAAACCGGATATTTCCGAATGCAATTCCAGGGCGTTTAAGTGACATCTAGAGTCTCAGCCATGCGTCAGCCCGAATACAAGGTAACCCCATATTTTTTCAAGAAAATAAAAAAAACTTTTCGAGAACGCTGAATATCTCATTTAGTTCCCTGAGTTGTAAGCAAACAGAACTAAAATTACTGGATACCACATCGTTTAGCCGACTGACCACCTTGTACGGGCCCTTCCATGGGGATTGAAGCTTGGGTGATTCCTTCCGTGCGGGTGGGCCGATAAGCCGACGCTAGTCGCCCTCGTGGTAACCCGGACAGTTGGCCAGTCGTAACGAGTTTGCATCCGGTCACTGGCCAGCTTCAGGTGTTGGTGGGCATAACTGTAAATGTCGTGTAGATCGTCCACTAAATTTGCCGCATGATCAACTGTGGGTCGTTCCCTCTCTCGGGGTGTTCCAACAGCATGTCGCAGGGCAGTCGAATTTCTCTCCCGAACACCAGGCTAGCTGCGATCAAGTGGATGCCGTGTAAGCGAGGAGGAAGATGGGTAAACTTGTGTCCCAATCCCTCTGGTGTGTTGCGACAACCTTTCGTAGGTGGTCCTCGACCGTTCTGATGTAGCGGTCGACCATACCGTCCGATTGCGGGTGAAGGGGTGTGGTGAGCGTCTTGCTCACGCCCAGGCGTTACAAAACCTACATCAGATGGGACTCCAAGTTACGGCTCTGGTCACTATGTAGCTTCCGCGGCACTCCGAAGCGGCAGAACAAGTTGGTAACTATGTCTTCCGCCACTGTCGAAGCCTCTTGACCGGGAATGACGTAAGCTTCCGGCCACTTCGTAAAACAGCCCATGGCGATCAGGAGGTATCGGTTTCCTTGGTCGCTTCGAGGGAAGCGCCTTGCTACATCGCTGGCTATCCTCTCTAATTGGGCCCCAACATTGTACTGGGGCATCTGGCACCGACTCCTGGTCCGGGGGCCGCGACTGGGTGAACAGGTGTCGCAGTGCAAGCACCACTTCTCATATCGTTCCTTGCCTGCAGCCATTACTACTTATTCGGGGCATTGCTGACGCTCAAGTGATGTCCTGACTGTCCACCATGTAGTACATCGTTCACTCTACTCCGAGGGAGAATTATCTGGACTATTTTTGACCGTCCATCGGCGAATTCCCAGTCGCGCTCTAGTATGCTGTTCCTCACAGCGAGGGTGACTGTGATTAAGAGAGACTGTACATGAAGGTGTCAATAAATCCAGTCATGAATTCAGAACCAGTTATTATTTGTCCGGCAGCCATAAACACGTTGACAATAAAACAAGCAGCAAACAGATATTTCTTCTTGGTTTACTCTTCAACCCAGAATACGTAGGCGACATGTTCCTCCGAAACGTCAGTTGACTTTCATCCGACTATATGGCGTTATATACCAGAAGACTTCATAACCATTACTGCGAGAACCTCAAATCCTATATCTAATTTACTATTTTCCTACCATCTACGCCTAGGTCTCCCAAGTGGTATCGTCTCTTCGAAATTTTCGTTCAAACGGCCTATGATTTTATCGTTTCACCTATGCATGCTATATGTCCCACCCATTCTCCTTAATTTTATCACTGTAATAGTTGGCACATTTAGTGAAAAATGCAGATCATGACGCTACACATTATGCAGTTTTCTCCAGCCTCAGTCACTCACAACCTATGCATTTTCCTATAACGTGACAGACCAACGTTCATACGCAAGAACTGTACAGTGACAGCATGAAACACCAGTGCAACTGAGTTGATTTTAAAACAATTAAAATTTAACGTTCCTCATACATTGCGCCATCATCAAAATTGCGACTGTGTTACTGATCGGATCTCTACAGGACGCGATGGCATAG